ATAACTGATCATGTGATGTTGTTTCCTAGGAAACAGGTGTATAACTGATCATGTGATGTTGTTTCCTAGGTAACAGATGTATAACTGGCCAGCAGCTGAGTCTAGAGGGAAACACGGTCAACGACTCTCACGCAGAAATCATCACTCGTCGGGGCTTCATTAGGTATGCCTACAAGCATTAAATCCCTGGTTCCTATATATATCTACCTGGTTCTCTATAAAAGCTAAGCTTTGTGTTTTCAAATAAAAATTAATAGCTAATTCCAAAAATTCACTTGAAGTGGAACAAAATAGTTTTGACAGCTTGTTTCTTATTTGTTTGGTTTGCTATTTTTAAACTTATTAATTTTCAACACTTATTTTTTTTAAATCATAATAATGATACTATGATCAATCAAGTCAACTTGTATGATCCATAAATTGGCCCTTACAGAGCCTTCAGTAAAGTCATGTCATCTTCCAAGGCCATAGAGACGATATATGTGTATTAAGACAAGAAGCATTGGATTTTGGCTAAGGAAACTGTAAAATAACTGCTGAAAATCTATTAACTTTATTTGTTTTATTAGGAAATGTTATATATTTTACAGGTTCCTGTACAAAAAGTTGTTGACTTTTGAACCCAATGGCCCCAATGGTTTCTTTGTGAAGTCACCGTCGGGAAAGTTAAAGATAAGGGATGGAATAACGTTCCACCTGTATATATCTACGGCTCCATGTGGGGATGGCGCTCTCTTCTCTCCCAGGTAATTACCTCCCTTGCTCTCCCAGATAATTACCTCCCTTGCTCTCCCAGGTAATTACCTCCCTTGGTACCTTTAGGTGTCGCTTGGGCACCTTTATTCAATCATCAACCCTTTAACTTTATTCACTCGGAGTGGAATATATCCAAAATACATCTGATAAAATATGAAATAAAATCTATTGTAATGTGGCTGAACTGAATTGCATGTTCAAGATCAAAGCCACATTCAGTGCAGAAATAATTTTGGAACATTTGCAACATCGTCGGAAACCCACAGTTGATTTCGCTTCGGTACTCGCTCATCACTGAAGCAAAATCAACCGTGGGTATCCGACGATGTATTTGCAACTGAATGCATTATTGTTATTGAAAGAATCGCAAATAGGTCAGTGTGCTTCATTGTTGTAACAGCTATCATTTCTGCTCTCCACCATCCATTTTGTATTCCTAGGGCCTACTTTACCAATGTTCACAATTGTATTGAATCCTACCATCTATATTTTATCAGTTACAAGTGCCTGCTTCCCAACCCTGCTTATATATTAATATCAGGGGTAGCCTTTACAATGATTACTTACCTTAACATCTGTTTCATTAAATAAATGGCATGTCTGATATTGAACACTATATCATTAAAACATGTTCATCTGTGTTTATCGAACAGGTGTGGAGTTGTAAAACACCGAGATGAATGCATTGTTGTATACTTACCTTGTATTCCACGTTTTTTACCAACAGAGATTCTGCCTCTAACAATACCCCCCTTGCGTCTTTGACAGACCGAACCCACCACCCAACTTTTACCAGCCAGGTACAGGGACTACTGCGCACAAAAATGGAGGGAGGTGAGGTCACACACACAAACATATTTAAAATATTAAATGATGTTAATATTAATAGGAGGTGCTGAAACTTTATTAGATTTCAGATTGTAAAACAGATATTGCTACCAGAAACCATAGATGTTGGATATGAATCTGCAAATTCATGGGGTTTCTTGTTTGTTGAATAAATAAACTAAACAATAATGCAAAGTCAGGGAAATGCCTCAAGCTGTTCTACCCCACATGATCAAAAGAAGTGATTTTGGGCTTACAGCAGAATTCTGGCGCAAGGCATGTTCTCAATTTCCCAACTAGTCAACTCGTTTCCTCTGCAAGGTGGCATTACAGAGCCTTCGCTTTTGTCATGACAAATTCCAAGAGTGTAGAGAACATCTGTATCGAGTTTTGAACCCTTTGATTTTGAGGATGCCGTTTGCCCAGTATGAACTTGACGTTTTGATATGTCGTTTTGGATCTAAAATTAGATGTATTTCACAATCCTTTTACATTATTCAAGGGGAGGGAACCATTCCAGTGGAACCGGACTTCACCGTTCAAACATTTGATGGTATCCAGAGAGGGGAGCGACTCCGAACCATGTCATGTACAGACAAAATCTGTCGGTGGAATGTAGTTGGTATGCAGGGAGCTCTACTCAGCCACTTTTTAGAACCGGTCTATCTAGATTCCCTAACACTGGGTAAGTGTTCTAAATCTGTAGAAATAATTTTAGTTTGTTGATAATTTATCTTGTGTTCATATTTAAGTTTTCTATCACAGTAAAGGATATTGAACAGTAGCTTGTATATAGTTAACTTTATGTTTTCATTGCTTAGCTGAAACTAAAAGGAATGCAATAGTCTAAAAATAAACACTGTAATACGCAATATATTGAAGAGATAATCTTTACAGAAACTTAACAAAAGTTGCAAATCCCTCAATACTTAGGAACCAACACATTTTGACAGTAATTTCAATCAATAATCATTTATAAGTATAAGATAGGGAACATTTAAAATTGTTTACCGTTGCTGATATTCTGTTGAGTCAATATTGATTTTGTTTGACAGGATTTCTGTTTGACCCTGGTCACCTGGCACGTGCTGTGTGTTGCCGTGTGAACCGAGGTGACACAGATATCAACACAATGTTACCTGAGGGCTTCCAGCTGAACCATCCCTGGTTAGGTCGGGTCACCGCCGTGGAGCCATCACGTGAGACGCAGAAAACCAAGGCCCTCAGCATCAACTGGTGCTACGGGGATGACAAGCCAGAGGTCACAGATGGAACACAGGGGTTGTGTTACACTAGGTAAGGGGTCAGGGGTCACGGAATTCATACAGTGGCTGTGTTACTCTAGATAAGGGGTCAGAGGTCACAGATGGAACACAGGATATGTTACAATAGGCAAGGGGTCAAAAGTCAGTCAGAGCACAGGAGCTGTGTTACACTAGGTAAGGATATGAGGTCACAGATGGAACAGGGGATGTGTTACAATAGGCATGGGATCAAAGGTCACAGATAGAACACAGTGGCTGTGTTGCTATAGATAAGGGGTCAGAGTTCAGTGACGACACAAAGAATGGGCTAAACTATGTTAGATCAAGCTTAAGGGTAACACACAAAGGGTCAGAGGTCAATGACAGCACACTGGCTGTTTAACACTAGGTAAGGGTCAGAGGTCAATGA